TTTTTTTTTTCTATTTATGGATTTATTTAGGGTAAATTAAGGGCAAGTATAGTTTTTCTTTCTTAGATGAATGGGCATACTTTTAATTGTTAGGCTTTAAGATCACCAAAAAAAAGAGAATGAAAAAGGCCAGGTGGTGGCTCACGCCTGTAATCCCAGCACTTTGGGAGGCCAAAGCAGGCGGATCATGAGATCAGGAGTTCAAGGCCAGCCTGGCCAAGATGGTGAAACTCCGTCTCTACTAAAAATACAAAAATTAGCTGGGCGCTGTGGCAGGTGCCTGTAATCCCAGCTACTAGGGAGGCTGAGGCAGGAGAATTGCTTGAACCCAGGAGGCGGAGTTCGCAATGAGCTGAGTTCACACAACTGCACTCCAGCCTGGGTGACAGAGCAAGACTCTGTTTCAAAAAAAGAGAGAGAGAAAGAATTTAAAAAGGGTGATAAGGGATCGCAAGGAGGGGATCAGATGAAAGAGAAGCTGAGGGAAAGCTCCAGGGATAAAGGGAGATGGGAAGGTTAAAGAGGCCAGAGATCAGTAGAATTTCCTTGTTAACATACCACGTATATCTAAGCTCAACCCTTCGGGTATGTGCAGGAGTAGGTGGGGCAGCAATAACTGGACATTCTCAGAGTGTTTAGGAATTGGTCATGCTGGCACTGACCCTCCTGCCTGAATGCCATTGAATGCTGTTTCCGTGCACAGGGATTCTAACCATTGACAGGAAGATTGGAGGCAGGTGAGAAGGAATTAATGGGGGTTAGTGTGAAGAATTCTGACTTGGGAGTCAGGAGCCCTGAATTCAAATCCCAAAGCTGTGTCTGACTTGCCCCATGACCTCCAGGGAGTAACTGAATGCCTTCCTCCCTTGGGAGGGGATCTGCCGCTTGTGAGCTGTGTGACCTCGTGCAGGTTCCTTCACCTCTCTGTTCCTCAGCTTTCTCATGGGTACAATGGAAACGAGATGTAGATCCACTTCACAGAGCAGTTCTGAGGTTTATATGAAATGATTGTGGAAACTGCCTGGCACAGAGTCAGCACTCTGAATGAGTTAGCTGTGGTTGTGAAGTCTCGCTTTTTTCATCTGGTGATGGAAGAGATTGGACTCCCCAGTGTTTAAGACCCCCTTTGACACAATATGATGGGTGTTTGTCTAAGAAAGGGAGAAAAAGGGAGATCGGGATTCATGGGTGGGGGAGAGGAATTGAGATCGAGTGGGGAGCCAAGAACTGTGGAACAGGAGTCAGGAGATGAGAAAAGGAATGGGAGGGATGGAGGAGGAGAGAGAATGGGAAGAGAACCATGAGAGAGTGGCGAGGAGCTTGGGATAGCAAGGAGACCTTTGGAGAATGGGTGACCCTCTCTCCAAATTCCCTCTCATCTGCATTCCTTTCTAGGAAAGACCACTGGGACAAGATGAGATTGAAGGTAACACCGTCTTCCCCAGTTGCCCCCACGTTGCCATCCACCCACCTGACCTGCCCTCCATCCCTTTCTGAATTTCTGTATAAATTCCTTTACATGGAATTTTTACAATCCCTCTCTCTTCCCACTCAACTGTAATTTTGTGGAACTCTTTCTCGTGGCAGTTGAAGGACCTCCCAAAGTATTTCAAAGGCATACCCATCCTCAAGGGTCTCCAAGACTCAGGAGTGAAAACAATGAGTTTCTCTCTTGGTGACTTTGAGGTTCCCCAAAACTTCGCCCAAGAATCTGAAGGATGCCAGTGCTCTCGTTTAGCAGTCTCGGGAATGATGCCTCTTTTGCTAACACATTTCATCCATCACTCTTTTTTGAAAAAAAATAAATTTTTTTTGAGACAGTGTTTTGCTCTTGTTGCCCAGGCTGGAGTGCAATGGCACGATCTCGTCTCACTGCAACCTCCGCCTCACAGGTTCAAGCAAT